ATTCATCTCATTCATGTCCTGGATTATTATTATTATTATTATTATTATTATTATTATTATTATTATTATTATTATTATTATTATTATTATTATTATTATTATTATTATTATTATTATTATTATTACTACTACTATTATTATCTTTCTTTTTTTTTTCATGTTCGTGTATTATAGCGACAACCTAGTATTCGTATGTCTGTTGTTTGTTTTATTTATTGAGTTAATTATTTTTTTTTTTCTTTTTTGGACTCAGTTATTCTACGTGGACAAGGTAGTGTTGTCCGTGAGATCAGTCCCGAGGAGGTTCCCGATGTTCAGCTCCTGGAGTAACGAGGCCTTAAGAAACAGAGAACGTGACGAGATTGCTTCGGGGGCCTTCGGGAGAGGTTTCGTGGATGCAGACGCTCTCAATACCCACCAGCTTGATAAAATGGGTACGAACTCTGACGACGTTATTGCTGGGGTCCCGGAGAATTGTAGTGTACAGGTAGATACCGATTTGCCTTTTTTTTCTCTTTATATATATTTATATATTTTATTTTATTAACTGATGAAATGTGCATTTGTTTGGAGTAAAATGTGCAATGTGCAGATCATAAATGTGCATATGTGAATGATGATTGCATATACGAATTGTGTTCGCCTATGTGAGTCGGTGTTTATGTAATGAGGCTGATACCGCATACATATTGTGTAATACACAAAGTATACTTGTGCAATTTGTTATAAATAAATGTGCTTGAAAATGTGGTGTTTGCGAAATGCCTTTCTATATCGTTACTTCTCAAACTTATGTTATGCGTTATGATTTTCATCATATGAATTTACCTGTGTTGTTTTTATACCCCTATTTTTTTATTTATTTATTTGTTTTTATGCGTCATGATTCCCTCACCCGTCTTAAGTTTATCATTACATTGTGCATTGTCCGTTGTGAAATTGTGCACTGTGATATGCAGTAGAGTGCATTATTAATTAACTGTAGCATTACATCTTTTCATCAGGCTTATATTCATGAGTTTATGTCTAAAACACGGCTTCTTGCAACTACCGGGGTTGAAATACTACAATTGGTTGAAAAGGCCCCGCAAGTTCTACTTGAAGATGAGAACTTTGTGAAAAAATGAACGAGGCGGCGCAAAAGCTTCTTGGAGTGTACAATGAATTGCCACGCAGTGACCCGAACCATCCCGTTAATAGTCAGGAATGTGGCCCAATCGGAAAAAAGGATGACGTAACATATAATACCATTAGGGGTGGCGTTTCACAGCAGACCGACGATGCATTCTGGAACGCTCCTGATACATTAGCTGCACTTGATGAGGTTATGAATGCAATTGAATAGTGGGACCGCTTCAAGAGGATGCACAATAGGGGGCCCAGTTACAGCTTGGGGTTGGGTTTGACTCTAGATTATGTTGTTGCCGCCACCGATGTTGATGGCGCACATCAGCGTACGAGTGTGGATAGAGATAAAAACATAGCTGGGACGTCACTTACTGTGGATGCGCAAAGAGGTACGTGCTTTAATAAATGCATACGTACCACTGTGGTAGGTGTAGAGTTTGTAGTGCGTTTCTGTAAACATCTTGGCGATGCTGTTTTAATACATTTATTTTTTCACTTACGAAGTTGGCGTTGGTTTGTCTGACAAGACGATGATAGTGGAAGTACCTGGGCTAGAAACCGGCAAATGTGCAACTACAGGTACACGTGTAATTTACGTCATTGTTAACGCACCAATTGTGCTTATTTTTTTTTCCTCTTTTGTATCCATGATTTTTTTGTTCATACATATATATTTATATACGTTTTTCATTTTTCATTTTGTTTTTTTTTTCAGACAATGCTGATGTTTTGGATCATGTCGAGGCTGCAGACGGGACACCAAAGCCGAAAAGGCATACTAAGGTAGCGAGTATAATCAAGTGTCCGTTTAAAGTAAGGTCGATTGATGTTACAAAGAAACTTGATGCTCACGAGAAAATGCTCGCTAACTAGGTATTGAAGAAAGACGATGATGACGGGTATGATTTTACGTTTCGTTGTGTTACTAATATAACGTGCCAATAATCGAGCGCAATAATATACAATCGCATGATGTTATATTTGTATCATTTGCATAGCATTCTAATTTCTTATGTATGTTGTATGCATGGTTATGCTCACGATCAGCGATGTTATCATTTATCAATCATCTGAATTTTCTGCGAAGAAACATGTCGTGTCATGCTTGCTGCCAGATTCGGCCATCACAAACGAGCTTCTAGACTTGTGGTCGTGCATTATGAACTACAATGAGAACTTCAGGAGTCGTGGCACAGCTACGTGTTTTTATGCCTCTACATCTCTATGTATCAAGGTATGCAATCTTATATTATGGTAACGTTATAAGCATGTACCCACTTGTGAATACGATAGGTTTAATCGCATTCATGTGGCATTGTCCGTTTGCAGCTATTCTATGACGGAAAGCGGAGAAAGGACGTTGGCTACAAAAAATTTGCACAGATGCTAGATTCTGAGATTAAACGATTGTCCATCTACAAATTAAATGAGATATCCTTGGTAAATGAATTCCTGAATAAAACCCCATATTTGTTACTTGTTCAATTTTTTTCCTCTATTTTTTTACTTTTTTTCTCTTTCTACTTTCTCAATGTATACACATTCATATCGTCTGGTATAAGCTATCAATGTGTGGCAATATTGATTCATATGCATATGTATGATTTGTCTCATGCGTTTATTGGTGCAGTTTATGTTTCCGGTAATCTTGGCAACTTTTTCGGGCTTGCTGTGTATGGCGCCGGAATCCCAAAAGTTCACGATTTTAAATAGTGCAAGCACTTGTAAAGATGCAGCTGTTGAGAAAATAATCATGTCTCGTGCCGAGCTCTTGGTAATGTTATAATTTCTTATAGTATAATCGAACGTTTTTTATATAGTGTGATATAATTATTATGTTTTTAACTACCCACAGCGGCAATCACTCTCGAAGTACCTAGGCGAGAGGAGATTGGTAAGAATGTCCAAATCTATTGCTTTGTCTGTCCTTGAGGTCGTTCGCCCAGCCTGGACCGAGGATGTTGATGCGGCAGACGCCGGCGTGATCACGATGCGCCATATGGAGACGTTTAAAGGTGCATTTACCAAAAGCTGTAGTCCACACATCAAGACTAGAGACAAGAGCCAGATGGAGCTTATGAGGAAAAGATATAGCTGCGTGATAGCATGTGCCCCGAATAACGGTCTAAAGGAACCAAACCTTGCAGTTGCGAAGAACTACCAACCCCTGCATATGGCGAAAAAAACAAAAAAAAAAAAACAATGTAAGTGCAGGCGTCTATTGAACTAGCTGGGTGGTCACGCCTTTTGTGTTAGACCCGTTTTGATGACATGTTGATATCGAATTTAATCGAAATGTGTACGTGACGGAACTTTTGGTGGTCTAGTATGTGTTTTTGGGTATTATGCGAACAACTGTGTTTGTTAGAGCTCGTCTGTATCGAGACTTTTCTATTTTGCTACTCGTGTTGGTACCATGTTTTGCTACTCGTGTTGGTTGCAGGTGAAGACTTGGGAATGTTTTAAATGTGTGGGTGGTGAATTAGTACTTGTGGTCGTATCACATGGACATTTGTGTAATTTGATCACATTCGTATTGTATATAATGATGAATGTTCACTTGTTACGATCTATGGCTTCATGCTATTATGTGTATGTTCGTAGATGGTTTTTTTATTTTTTATTTTTTATTTTTAATTTTTTTTCTTGTGTTTTTTATTATGTGCGTGATGTTACATATTGTGGTGCGATACTTCAAGTGTTATTGTGCAATACGCGAATATGGTATACACTATAACCGTGATACGTGTGTATACAATTATCATTATTATAATTATAATTAATATTTTTATTGTTATTATTATTATTATTATTATTATTATTATTATTATTATTATAATAATAATTATTATTATTCGTAACAGTAATGATGTTGTTTCACAAGTGATGGTGTTGTAATGTGCGTTATTTTAATATCGTGCAGTACATATATACCAATGTGCACTCCATCATACATATATATTTTCAGTTATTTCATTTTTTCCTCGATGCAGCCATGTCGGTATACATGCAATAATATTGGTTGCGGAAGGGTCTTACATTAACACATGTGTGTTGTGGTAGGTTCCATTAATGTTGGGTACATTGTTACTCAAATTCGTGATGATGCGGTGTTGATACGATTTTAAAGTGCAATTCGTTCATGGGTGATGTGCGTTTCAGTCGAGATATTGTGCATTCAATATTGAACAATACCTATAGGATTATTGATAATGTCCACAATTCAGTGAACAATTATTAGATGGATTCCTACATATTGTTCAAATATTAGAGGATATAGAACATTCAAAAGAATCCCATTGATGCAATAACCGCATATACGAAATAATAATACGTTTGCGTTTGTACCAGTAGTTTGACAACACTTATAATAACATCCAGTCTCAGAACTTAGCATAGAAAACAATGTTTGCGTTTTTCGTATTTAAGATAGAATAAACTCGAGTACACCATGCGCTATAAACGAGTCCAGTCATATACTTGTGCTTCCAATTGGAGGTCCCCAGAATATTCGTGCCTGCAATCGTAATTATGTACAAATTAGTATTCATGTCGATGGTTGTACATTGTGAAATATGTGGAGGCAAAAAAATAAAGAAAAACAATAAATAAAAAAATAAAATAAAATAAAATCTTGCAGCGCATAAGGATAATATAATATATGATTCCCGATACTACTAACTGAAGTACATTACCTTCCATGTACGTACAGACCCAAAAAGAAGACGGTCTGTTTAGCTAAATCTCTATAATAATCAGAAAGTTTCAGTATAATGAATTTTAAATTTGGTTGTAAAGTTAACAATTGTGTAAATAGATTCAAATGGAGTGATATAAAAGAATGGTAGTCACCTGAGTATGCAACGGTAAATTTACGGCTTCTTAGCGCATGTTCGTGCATTGTGTCCTGCCCTCTCGCCACATGACTTGCAAATCCTTCTTTTTTTATTGCTTGTCTCGATCGACTTCTCCTTGTTGGTTTTCATCCTTCTCCCACTACCTTTGTTTTTTGATTGTGTAGGCGGGTGGATGCTTACCTCTGATGGCGCGGACATGCCAACAAACGATTCAAAAACGTGCCCCATGTCATTGCCTGATGAGTCACTCTCCTGATATTCCACGAGTTTCCGCCTATGTGCCTCAATTATCTTTGAAAACTCAACAAGATGGTCAACGTGCTTCTCAGCCAACCCCATGCATATATGTAGGTCTGACCACAATTGATTAACCATCGACTTCCTTTCGTCTATTTGTGCGCACTCTTCAGAAATGCTGTCAAGTATACGGAACATAGGAGTGCTAATGGCAAGCTTTTTCCACCTTGACGTCTACGTTCATATCCTTCAGAACAACAAAAGCATGCCTACACAACCATCCATACATCTCGAAGTGCTTACAGGAACAATGTGATGTATTCAGGTTCACATTGTGCATCACGTTAAATGTTTTGCCATCAATGTCTCTGATAGTAAACTCCATGCGACCGTCGTTTTCAGAATAACTCATAACTCGACATTTGAAACACGCATCGAAAATTTCAGCTTGCACACGATAGAATATTGTTGTTGTGTACACGTTTAAGGCACACTTCTCAATCAGCAGCGGGGTTTTTAGATCGGCTAGATGGGTTTCACAATCGTTTTGTAACTTCATCATTTCACAATCGTTTTGTAACTTCATTGATGTGTTTCTTTGTGCGTCCATTGCACTATCAAAGTGTAACAAGAACTCGACCAAACTAGAATGATTATTCGTAAAACTATTAAACTAATTATTCTCGCTTTCAGACCTAGACGTAGTCCTCATTAAACCACTCATCCCAACATCTATAAAGTAAGTCGGTATCCAATGCTCCTTTTTAGCATATAAATCATTAAACCATCTATGGGTGTCCAGTGAATAATCTTTATAATCGAAGCCCATTTAGTTTCAAATTCATCAGGTTCTATAAGCCGACACCAAACAAGTTCATTGATTCTCCGTTTGAAATTGGTATCATTAGTCAAATCATGGCCGACCTTTTTTTTTTTTATTAAAACATCCCAGATTGGGATGGGGGTTGAGGCTACACCCCAACCTGTGAATATAATACCCACCAGGGCTAAAAAAGTCAATGGTCTACATCCAAGTCGTGAATACAAAGAGCAACATCAAAAGGAGAGAAAATAAAAATAAAAATAAAATAAAATAAAAATAAAACTACAAGGGTCACAAAATATCCGTTGTGGATCTAAAATCAAATCCTCATAAAAGACTGTCCCGGTCAGAGTGACCTGGCATGGAGTCCACAATGTCATATCTAATCAGGTGCAGGAGGTGGCGGTCGACCAAATCTGAAGGATGGGTACTCTAACTGGTCCATCCGAATGAGCGTCCGAAGCCTGAGGGGAATGTCCTCAGGAAGAAGGGTGCGTCTCTGGGGTATAGATGCCCCTGTGCTAGCAAGGAAATCGACAGGCCGGTTCCCCTCCCGGAAAATGTGTGAGACCTGGTAATGGATCGAGCGGAGGGTGTCTCTGATACGCATAAGGGGATGCTGGATCTGCTATGATCCCTGGTGGTCAGATGTCAAAAGTGTGATGACAGCCGCAACATCCATCTCAATCCAGACATGAGAGGAGATCGAGGCGGCAATCTCGAGGCCAATCTGGAGCGCCTGAATATCTGCATCATAACTCGAGGAGGCCCATGGAAGGCAGAGATGAGTGACCCACCATGGTCCCTAATCAGGCCCCCTCCTCCAGCAGCTCCGGTATGTCTGTCGAAAGCGCCATCAGTGTTTAGCTTAACCCAAGGGGCCTTGGGTTTCAGCCAAACAACGGTCCTGGGTCGTGGGTGCTGGACAGGTAAAGGAGATGGTGGTCTCAAACTGTGGGGCGGTGTACACCCTGTCCAGTCTCTCGTCATAAGTCTACCCAGGGCAGTGAGGAGAGAGAGGTGTCTGTCAACCTGTAAAATAATGTGAGCACAAGAAAATATAATATCCCTATGCTTCGCATTATTCCTTTCTGTCCAGGTGGCCCATAGGATCAGACAAGGAATAAGGAAGCCCACGTGTCTACTGTGTGTGCGGTGACCGAAAAAACTCAGAAGCTCAAAAAAACTGTCTGTAGTGGGGAGGGGTATATGAGTATATCTGGCATAGTGCTCCCACACTCTCCTCACAGTCTCACTCTCAAGGAAAAGGTGGGTGAAAGTCTCAATCTCAAAGGTGCGGTCTCAGCACAACAATGGCAGCGGGAGGGGAAGGAGAATCTTCTCGCCTGCATCACAGTGTCAATGGGTATGCGCCGTAATAAAAGGCGCCACAAAAAGACGGAGATGGTTGGGGTGAGAAGGTCGGTCCATATGGCCCCGAAGAGGCGGTTTGGCCGGTTGCCCAGCCTCACTTCTCCCCAGGCTGATGACGTAGAGAATGCACCCGAGGATGTAAGTCTCCACCTCATGCCATCCAAACCTCCCTCCAAAATGGGAATCTGTCGGATCTGGTCAATCTCTAGACTACTAAAACCCCCACCCTCACCAAGAATAACCTCCATCTTATCTCTATCCCCAAAACCTCCCGTCCAAAGATCCTTCACCTGCATGAAAGGCAGGTGAGTGACTGGCCTAGTACTCGAGAGGGGGGCCTCTCCGAACCACCACTCATCCCAGAAGCTAATCTCCCCAGAACCCAAGGTCCAAAAGATGTGCTCCTGAGCACGCCTGCCAACAGTGGTGAGGCGTCTCCACTGTCGACTATCCCGAGCGGTGGCTGTCACCCTGCAGGGATGAGCAGCACCACCAGGGCAATACTTCCTCAGGAGGTATTGAGCCCAAAGGGACTTGCCCTCCCTAAGGCGCCACCACATCCTGTAGGAAAACGCAGTAACCATATCAGAGAAGCGATGCACCCCGAGCCCACCCTCAGAGTGGGGACGACAGATGGAGTCCCACTTCACCCAGTGGGTCTGCCGCCGACCTCGCGATCCCTCGCTATAGCTCCAAAAATAGCAGGCTAAGATCTGATCTAACTCATGAATCGTAGACTGGTGGGGGTCAAGCACCGCGAGAAGGTGAAGAGGAAGGGCACAAAGAGTGCTCTTGATCAGAGCAAGTCGGCCTCCGAAGGATAGGTGTCTATGAGACCAGCCAGATATCCGGTCAATCATCCTCTGGCGGACGTCAATGAAAAGCTCATGGGAAAGATGGCCTTTGTACAAGGGGGCCCCAAGGTAAGGGATGGGTAAATCCCCACGAGCAAATCCAGTGCGCTCGTGAATCTGGTGAGCCCAATGATCTGCAACGTGGTGGTCCATGATAAAGGTACTCTTACTAACACTGACTAGCTGGCCAGATGTCTCACTGTAGTGGTCCAAGAGACTCATGAGAGCAACTAGCCCATTATCATTCGCACGAGTGAAAATGATAATGTCATCCGCGTAAGAAAGATGAGAAATGGGAGGCCCACAGCCACGCGTGCTGTAGGTCATCCTCGGAAAATCGCGAATGAAGCCGTCAAGGCAGCGAGAGAGGTAGTCAGCCAACAGAACAAACAGGGAAGGGGATAAGGGGTCCCCTTGACGAAGGCCACGAGTAGAAGGGAAAAAGGTCGTGGGGCTACCATTAATCAAAACGGAGAATGTGCAGTGTTCCACACATGCCTCCACAAAGCTAATCTAGAGGATAGGGAAGCCCATCCGAAACAGTACCTCTCTGAGAAACGACCACTCGACCCTATCATATGCTTTGGCCATGTCTAGCTTCAGCACGAGGTTCGGGGTTTTTGTTCGATTCGCACGAGAGATGTCGTGGATCATCTCCTTAGCCAGAAGGATATTATCACTAATGACTCTATCCTTGATGAATCCACTCTGGTTCAGAGAGACAAGATGAGAGAGGAGAGGGGCGAGGCGGCTGTTGAGAATTCTAGAAATGATCTTGTTAGTCACGTTGCATAAGTTGATAGGTCTGTAGTCAGACCAAGAGCTAGGTCCCGGTCTCTTCGGGATCAAAATGATGGAGGTTGCCGTGAAGGACTCTGGCATCGGGTGGCCAGAGAAAAAATCCCTCACGGCTTCCTCTACGTCAGTACCCACAATCTCCCAGCAAGACTGGAAGAAGAGGGACGAGAAACCATCCGGTCCGGAGATCATACAGTTTGTTCATTATATGCCATGTACAAAAGCGGTGCTTGGTACTAGTGAATACCTTGGTGAAAGCAATTCCAATTGAAGGGTCCTGGTCGGTGATCATGTAGTTGGGCTCTTGAATCATTGCGTTTTTTAAGTTCTCGAACACCCATACGGATGAACCCACATCTTCGTTTGATATCAGGGCGGCTGCAAACGTCACACATTTGTTGTGGTTGTCTATCCCGGTAAAAGGTGCAAAAATCATATTATACCTACAGGTTATAACTATATAATCAACATCACATATTAGCACATAGTGTCTGTATAATGCACAAGTGTCTTGTTTGATATTATGTTGCACATATCATATTAGTGCGAGATTGTTTTTACCTATTGGTGTGGTAGGTTGCGTCGAATGACACGACATCTCCAAAAGAACTGTAGTTTCGCCTCGATATCAGATCAGCCCAGAAAAGCCTTTGTAAGCAATGTCCGTCATCCACCTCATAGTAGAAATAGAAGGCTGAGCTATTTTCTTGCCGTTTATAAAACTTATCGACCACCAACTGAGCATCAGCACCTACAATGAACACAAGGAGTTCCCTCTTGAAATTTTTAAAATCGACATCAGTTGCACCAATATTCGAATACCCGCCAACCATTTCCTTGTACAGCTTGTGCGACTTTATGGGCCCGATATTGGCTTTAATACAACTAAGGACAAAATTTTGATGCGCGACGGACATGTTTCGATTGATCTTCAACCGCGATCTGCACTCATCAGGTATCATGGTGTGGTTATGTTTTTCCTCAAAAAACTTAACAACATATCCGTTATGTCCATCGAATCGTATCATAATTCGGGCGTTGCATCCCACCCGGTTGGATACTCTACGTCTTCTTACACGATTTTCGTTTGGCCCCGGTTGGCCTGTGTTTGTGTGTTGTTTGTAGCCTTCACGTGAGCACACCAAGTACTTCCAAAGTATCGTTTTATTTCGTGCTTTAACCAACGTGTTGTGCCTAACGTCGAACCCTACGGTAGAAGCATACAGTTGGTAGAAGTCGACTGCTTCATTCAAAGCTTTAAATCGTTGTCCATTGTGAGGCTTCAGCGTGTCATCGCACTGGGGTATCCAATATTTAGTGCCCCCAGGTGATATCAAAAGTCGATGGTGCTGTGTTCTGTCAGTCGGGGCTTGTTCTGAAACAAGACATGATAAAAATAAATCACCATTAAAGTGCACATTTATGTTGAAGAAAACGCATTATATAATATAAATTATGCACTCTAGACTACCTGGATCACATGTGTGATCCAAGATACTAAATTCAAGCAACTAATGACAAGAAGTTCATATCGTACCTGTTTGGGAGGCGTCCAACTCCATATGTTGCAACTGTATTTTTTTCAAATCACAGGGTGAAAGGTCGAATAATGTAATTTTTTGGTAGTCAGATTTGCTGGTCTTGATGCAACTTAGACCCCTAAAATCCACACATGATTGCTGGTTGTAGATTGGAAGTAATATAATAATAATCGAATTACATTGCAGATTATGATTAATGTTCAACATACCTGATATGTGTACTGAGGTTGACAATAACGGATTATCGAGGTTGAATCTGAGTTTTATGATCGAACGAGCAGCACTCGCGGTAAAGGGACAGACGAACGAGCAACACTAACGCAATCGTTAAAAATCAAACTCCAATGCTCGTGTATTGATCGGAATCCTTGAAACAGACGAACAATTACAAAATTCAGGTTGAATCTCCCATCGGAATTTTTGAATCCGCTGATCTAGGGGTTTTCCTCTATTTAATTTTGATATTTTCCCCTCAGTTTTGAAATACCGCAGCTACGATGGCACGTCATTGTTTTTCAGAATTACCATAGTGCCCTTCTAAGTTATTTGGCGTGAATATCCACCTGACCACATCTGTCCGTCCGTTCCTATTGATCTTGTGGTCATGGTTTATTCTCATTTCTTGTGTTTAGCACCTTTCTCACCGGAGCGCACCTCTATATATATATATACTAGTACAACACCCGTGTATTACACGGGTGCTTGCTAATTTTTTTTTTTCTTAAAATCTAAAATTAATGAGAAAAAGTAGTTTGAAAGTTTAAATACCTTTTATAAGAATATATATATTATTATATATTTATTATGACACTTTTTATTTGTGCAACTTACTTGTGTTATATTATACTAATTTTTTTTTTTAACTTTCAATATATAACTACATTACATATAAATATATCAATTGAAAAATAATTTTATTTTTCTAATGAATTTCAATAAATATTATTATTTTTTATTATTATAAAGATAAATATAATTTATTTATTTCATATATATACAATATGGATGACAAATCGAAGATTATCAAAAGATGATTAATTTGATATATTATATATGTAAAACCGATAAGTGATACAAAAGTTATCAACTTTTAAAATACATTTTTAATTCAATAGTTTATTGAAGGAACCAAATCAAAATTCAGGGATATATTAGTCACTTAGTGCCTCACTATGTAAAATTACAAAAAAATAAAAGGGTTATATTAGTAAAAGTGATATTAAAATACATAATTTACCTAAATAATATTTATGGAATACCCGAACCTAGATTATTATTATTAATATATCAATATTATTTATCCAAACCTAATTACGAAGCATGATTCTTCGCCAAATATGATTCCGAAGCACCAGAAGCAGCCACGTAGGCTCAGCGCATTCTGGAATTATATATAGGGAGGATATATCATAACAAAGTATATATATCTCATAACAAATCGTTTATTTTCAAAATTTGCTACAATGAATAAACAAATTGAATATTACTATAAAATTATATTTTGTGTATATATATGGCAACCTAATCATTGAGTCTAATAAATATGATGAAATAAAAAAGAATCTTCCATAAATGAGAATTCCAAAATTGGCGTCATATAAATTTGAATATTACTATAAATTTGTATTTTGCGTACATAGCATATATGCTAATCCAAATTAATGATTCTAATTAATCTGTTAAAATAAAAAAAAAAAAATCCTCCATTAATGAACATTCCAAAATCAGATACATAATTATTTACATTATCGTTTACCTACAAAATAACTATCAACGTAATTAAAGGAAACCTATAATTGACTAAAATAAACACAGAATGAAATTCGAGTTATATGGAAACTATGCAATTTATGATCTATTTTTTATTTAAATAGTATTATATAATTTCCATCTATAGTAAGTAATTAATGCTTGTGGCGGAAAATGTTACTAAAAATGATTTAAGTTAATCCTTATTCTATATATATATATAGATATAGATTATATAATAAAATAATAATTAAATATTATATGGTGAACAAGAATAAGTAAAACTATTACTTTTTCTTATATCAAGGGTTAAATTTACATGCTAAAATTAAATTTTATTAGTATAAATGTATTAGTGAGATAATATATTAATCATTTTACAAGATAACCTTAACATGTTCATATTTAATGTTATGGCTAAAAAAACAATGCTGGATGTGGAAAAAAACTCTGTATTGTTTTTTAGACTTAACATTGATTAAAAGAGGTAGCAAACAGATAATAACCCTATTACTTTTTAGACTTAAACGGCTGTGAAAATAACTCATTTAATATATCTGTCCTGTGCATCGCACGAGATACATCCCGTAGACATAATCTATACTTATATAAAAAGGCATTCTATTTACTAGAATTAGTAATAAGAAAAGTCAAAGGTAATTAATGCATTCTATTTCCATCAAGTATCTTATTTAATTATTTTAGTTAATTGTTTTATCTCATAACACCTTTTCAATATAACTTACCATGATTTTTCTATTGTGATTAAAATCCAAATTTTACATTTAAATCTTGTGAAATTGTTATTATTATTTTTATAAAGCACATATTATTTGTTAAAAAAATTAATTATATATATATATAATACACATCATAGTACCATAGTAGATGATTTAAATTTCAACCGACCAAAATGCCAATGATTTAAATTTGAACACACCTATGCGTTTGATCAAATGTCTGGATAATTTAAAATTGAGTCCATAAAAAATTGTTTAAATTTGAACACACCAGAAGAAATTTTATATACTTTTTATTTATAAATATATTGAAAGTGGTATTTAATGGCTGTTATATAAACTATTTTAATATATTTGCAATGAATAAAAGTTTTAATGAATAATGTGTAATGTTATTCATAATGTTTGTGACTTATGAGACACGAACACATAACTCCATATATATTTGTCAGATGACGGCTTAATAATTTTTAGACTTAACGTTGATTAAAAGAGGTAGAAAATAGATAATAACATTATTACTTTTTAGACTTAAACGGACAAAACTGTGAAAATAACTCTTTTAATATTTTGTCTCGTGCATCACACGGGGTAGCATACTAGTAGATTATATAGGTAATATCTTCATTAATTGATTACAACATGCAGATTTTTAGGATTGTTTTTCTCTTTCCATAATTTTGGGACGTTTAAATTGGTGAAAATCTAGTTTTGGATTTGTTTTTGCATAGAATAATTTGGAAATTGTTGGTACAAACTGTAAGACGCGTCTTTTTCCCCATTAGATAACGATTCTTGGGCCTAAGATAAAGGAGAATAGAATAGTTGTTTTGGGTCACGTAACGAAACATGGGTGTCTCTGGCCCATGGGCCTATTTTTTGACATTGGCCCACGTTACTGAAAACTGGGAATCTAGGGTTCCCACTAGATAAAGCTCCGACGACTGCGCCACCCAATCTATACCTCACAGCTGAATTCACAAGTTGCGATTCCCATCTGTTCTTTATCCAATTTTCAAGGTAAAATTTCCGCCATTGTTCTTTCCTGTCTCCATTGTTATAGAGCTCTTTGGTGTATGCACCGGTGATTTCTTTTGCGTGTTTTAGGTAGCATCACACTCGATCGAAGAAAATGAGACCAATTTTCTGCGGAAATTTCGAGTACGAGACTCGACAATCGGACTTGGAGCGATTGTTCTCCAAATACGGGAGAGTTGATCGTGTTGACATGAAATCGGGTACGAAAAAGTTTTTTTTTTTTTTTT